CTTTTGTAAAATTGTCATTGCATGGATTTATATGATGCATGAATTCATGTTCTTGTAGTCTAAGTGTGTGCCACTTCTCTGTCTGCTGCAGGGTTTGAAAATTAACCTTAGCCATTAAAAAAATACTAATTGTTCCATGACTTTTTCTGGTCCTTGCCATTTTCATTTATTAACATACAACTCATTTGTTTCAAAAAAGTCTTTGAAAATGCACTGAACGAACTTACTGTGCCACCTTTGTTGAGTTGTCTACGAAACACAATGAAGAATAGTCAGTTTAAGAAACCTTCCTCAATAATGAGGTGATGAGTTGAATCAGCTGTCACTAGGCCTAGCTATTCACCTGTTTTCAAGGTCTACTCGCTCTCTACACAAGAAGCTTGTCTTTGTCAGGGCCCTAATCTAAGCCAGTCCCAGACAATGGGCCTGTTTCAGGGATGAAGATAAGGCACTGGGTCATGGAATGTAACAAAAACACAGAAGAATCTCTCAGAGCTTGAAGCTGCTTAAGGACCTTTGAGAACATCCATGCAGCTTTGAGTATGTTTAGCTTAAAGGACTGTAACTTTGATACAGTTGAGTATCATGCAATCCATAAAATATGAGACATAACCTGCAATGCCTTGACACATTGGCTGATGTGTGTCTAAATATGTTTAAAAGTAAATTTACATTTTTCTTAAGAGCGGCATCCTCCCCCATCTTCATGCTGTATATATATATATATATATATATTTGAATGTAGGTACATTTGTCTAATCAATTAATGATATTGACGAGTCCTCTCTGGTGCACAATATTAAAGTCTGTGTAAAAAAGAAAAGATCCTAGAACTTTTGGGGTTCTTCACATTGTACACGGTATAGTGGACAATATGGCATTTACTATATAAGGGATAGTGAATGAGGAAACAGAAAGTTTTTCCTTCGCAGTTTTGAAAAGGTTTGTGTACAGATGACAATTTTGTCAAAACAATCCCTGTTCACACACTGACATGTGAAAATAAATTCCTCAATAAATTCCTAATTTGCTGATAGAAAGTAATGTAGTTGTTGTAGTATACTTTAAAAAATGCTGGGTTGTTTCAACCCAACTTTGGGTCAAATATGGACTAACCCAACTTTTGGGTTAAAAATTTAATGTAAAAATTTAACCCAATGGTTGGGTTAGTCCATATTTGACCCAAAGTTGGGTTGAAACAACCCAGCATTTTTTAGAGTGTAGCTATATTTGGGTATCTAGAATATGGTCATGCAGAATAAGGCATTAATACAGTATGTGCTTTATAAGTACTACTTATAAACAGGTAATATGATAGTAATATGCATGCTAATAAGCAACTAGTTAATAGTGAATAGTGTTGCATAATCTAAAGTGTTACCAAAAACGCTGTATTATTCATGCCAGGAAAGTAGCTGGTGATGTAACTTTGTAAAGAAACACTACCCTCATGCGCACATACCTACAGACTGAACACGTAATACACGTGCATGACATCGCCGTTTTCACAAATTCACAGAGAAGATAATGGCATCATTTATAAAAATGTGCACTTTGAAACACATGTTCAAAAGTTTGTATTTTTTTACCTGAACATTTCATTAAAACTGTTCAGTGGGGATGCCGGCTTTAGGGTCCCAATACTAATTGAGCAATGTTAAAATGCCACATCCAACGTGTATTTTTGCTGACCATGTGCTTCCTTTATTGGCCACAGTTCACTCATCTTCTAATGGCATACACGATTACAAGTTATTTCCATGAACCTGACAATGGGTTCAGTTACATCAATGACCTCCACACCTCAATCCAATAGTATGTATGCACAGTAGGGCTGTGCAAAAAAATCGAATGCGATTTTCATGCGCATCTCGTCAGTAAAGCCGCTCCCGTGATTAGTAGTAAATTCAGCACGTGCTTTCAGATGGAGTGGCATTTACTACACAGAGCCGTAGTTCACTGACAAGCTACACAAAATCGCGTTTAAAATCGTAGGCGATTTTGAACGCGATTTTGTGTAGCTTGTGTAGCCATCTGCACCATGACTGTAGAGCTGAATCAGGCTCTTTCTGAGGTTTTCTTTGGGTAGTGAGATAAAGATGAGCAGGAACGAGCCTGACAGGCCGTGTTGCATTGCTTTTGAACTCTTTTGTGCCCCCAAGAATCTCTCATCAAAGCTGTTAATGGCAACCACTGAGAGGCTGGTCGGGTTCAGTTGCATGGTGAAACACTGTCTTATCAGAGTCCCTCATTTCTGTCAGGGTTAGCCACAAATATCGGTCCTAGACAATGAGGTTCCCCACACTGCAACCAATGTACTGTGGCATCACCTTGAGTGCAGAGTCAAGTCTGTGGCACTGAAAGTGCTCTGAATAGTTTAGCATCCAGGCCATTCTCATCCACGGCCTTAAGGAGCTTGGTTTGATAAACCTGCAGCATGGCTATTGTGCGCAGAGAATCGATCCAGCCTGTCCAGATGAGATGAGTCTTGCCCGCCAGGTTAGCGGTGACATGGAATGGCTTTGACGGATGTGCTTCATGGACTTCCAATAGAGAGCCGCTAATGGACACAGGTAGAGTACTACAGCTTTCTCCATGTGGAAAAGTTTCTCATATCCCCAGTGGTCAGTGCCATCCAGAGACGTGAACATCAATGATCCTGAGCTGTGGGCATGAGGCGAGTGCTGGGTGCGCTATCAATTTCATTTGTATAGGGAATATACAAGTACATAATATAGACATTTAACTTTTTATTATTATTGTTATTATTTTTATTTTAAGTTAATATTCTGTTTTCAGTCTGTATTCTTTTCATATTTTATATTCAGTTTATAGATAGGGGTTTATAGGAATAAAGATCAATTAAGAAAAATATGTAGTTTATGAATTTTGTACTGAAAAAGTGCTTGAATGTCCTGGATTCTCTTGACGCAGTGCCTGTATGAACCCTGATTAGAGTATTTACCATTTTTCTATAAAAGGACAGTGTCCTTTTTTTCTTATATAGTTACAACTACACAACAAATAACATTACTCAGACATATTGAGAAAACATTTCAAGAAAAATTAAAATATTTGAGATCATATTGCATTTCTTTTGATTTTATTTACGTATGTGACCTTGAAGTAATCCAAAAGTAATTGTAAATCATTACTTGTGATATTTCTGATTAAATTTTTATGAAGTAACCCTCCCAAACCTACTTAAAGCACAGTTAATTAAAACAACTTGAAACATTTGGGAAAAAAAACAGTTGCTGGAACATTTACTTAATTAAAAAAAAGTCCGTTGTACACAACAGCAACCTACACATTGTGAACTTTGCTACTATTTTCCAACCAAAAATGGCAATAATTGTTAGCAATTAGAGATTTCTGTACTAACACGGCTCCTTATAAACACCTCCTTTTCACAGATGACAATAATCTTAATAATTTAGTAACTTAAAAATAATAAAGAGGTAATTGCAGGCAATACAGTAAAATGACCCATCCATTCAAAAGAATATCTTACATTTTTTTTATTTTGTCTCTACCTTTATAAAAATGTATGTCATTGTGGAATGTGCACAAACATTGACACACAAATTGTTGTGCAAATACATGATCTTTTGTTCTTGATTCCCAGTACTTTCCAGTAATGGAGAGCAGTTTTTGTTCTGGTGTGACTAGCCCTTCCTTTGTGTAATGTCTCCATCCTAACAGGCTCCTCCTCTCTACCTGGTCTGGGCTATAAAGGACACTTGTTTTGTCATAGATGCGCTCTGTTTGCTCCGAGGCATTGTCCCAAATTAGGATTATATTGCAGGTTGTCAAACTGCTGTCCAGTAATTTAACCAGCATCTCTGGCATTGCATGTAGCTGGAACAGATCCTTCAAGAAGACATGTCTTTAGGCCTGGAGCTCATCGGTATTGTGTCATGTGTGCTGGGCTGGCTTTTGGCCATCGTGGCTTGTGCTGTCCCCATGTGGAGGGTCACAGCCTTCATCGGCTCCAACATCGTGACGGCTCAGATTATCTGGGATGGCCTGTGGATGTCCTGCGTGGTTCAGAGCACCGGACAGATGCAGTGTAAAGTCTATGACTCCATGCTGGCTCTCTCTCAAGACCTCCAGGCAGCTCGAGCCCTGACTGTGATATCCATCCTTCTGACCGTCTTGGCTGTACTGGTGTCCATCGGAGGAGCGAAGTGCACTAATTGCATTGAAGAAGAGTCGCCCAAAGCTAAAGTCATGATCCTTGGAGGGGTGCTGTTCATCGTAGCTGGGCTTATGCAGCTGATTCCCATATCCTGGTCTGCCAACAGCATCATCAGGGACTTTTACAACCCTTTGCTGCCTGACGCCAGGAGACGGGAGCTGGGAGCGGCGCTCTACATCGGCTGGGCAGCAGCTGCGCTCCTGATTTTGGGGGGCTCGTTGCTTTGTTGCACCTGCCCTCCACAGGAGAAAAAATATAACTCGCCTCGGATGCCGTATCCTGCGTCTCGCTCGACCGGTGGGGGAGGATATGACAGAAGAGACTATGTGTGAAACAAACAAAGGACAACTCTGAACTCAGTGTTGCAGTGCTCAATGCACAGGCATAAATGAAAATATGCCACACATTCTCCATCGTGGAGAAACATGTTTGATGCCTTTGGTCTCCGTGTAAGTGCGATGTAGGCTGTTCAAAATGTAATGACACTGACAGTGTGAAATGGCCTTTTGTAATTGCTATGAAAATGCAAACTAGCTCTGTTACGTTCAGCTGAAATCTCAACGAAGCATCATTTTTAGCTAACTGAGGTGTATAAAGCTGATTTTACATTTATTGGTCAATTCTTTTAGTTTTTTGGACTAGTTGCACTAAGATTTTATGTTTGATTTCAATGTATTTTAACACAGACAAGTTGACTATGTGTTCACTATATGTTGTAGAATTTAAAATATCATCTTTTTTTTAATCCATCAAAACCGTGTCTGATTTAAATTGTAATTTGGATTTCTTTATTATTTATATGATTCAGAGCACCGGACAGATGCAGTGTAAAGTCTATGACTCCATGCTGGCTCTCTCTCAAGACCTCCAGGCAGCTCGAGCCCTGACTGTGATATCCATCCTTCTGACCGTCTTGGCTGTACTGGTGTCCATCGGAGGAGCGAAGTGCACTAATTGCATTGAAGAAGAGTCGCCCAAAGCTAAAGTCATGATCCTTGGAGGGGTGCTGTTCATCGTAGCTGGGCTTATGCAGCTGATTCCCATATCCTGGTCTGCCAACAGCATCATCAGGGACTTTTACAACCCTTTGCTGCCTGACGCCAGGAGACGGGAGCTGGGAGCGGCGCTCTACATCGGCTGGGCAGCAGCTGCGCTCCTGATTTTGGGGGGCTCGTTGCTTTGTTGCACCTGCCCTCCACAGGAGAAAAAATATAACTCGCCTCGGATGCCGTATCCTGCGTCTCGCTCGACCGGTGGGGGAGGATATGACAGAAGAGACTATGTGTGAAACAAACAAAGGACAACTCTGAATTCAGTGTTGCAGTGATCAATACATGGGCATCATTTTCTGGAAAAAAATGAAAATATGCCATGCATTCTCCATCGTGGGGGAAACATGTCTCATGGAGTTGTTTGATGTTTTAGGTTTTCATGTAAGTGCGATGTTGGCTGTTCAGAATTTAAGGGCACTGACAGTGAGAAATGACCGTTTGTAATTGCTATGAACATGCAAACTAGGTCTGTTACGTTCAACTGAAATCTCAACGAAGCATCATTTTTAGTTAACTGAGGTGTATAAAGCTGATTTTTTGGTAATTTCTTTTAGTTTGTTGGAATAGTTGCACTAAGATTTTATGTTTTATTTAGATGTATTTTGACACGGACAAGTTGACTGTGTGTTCACTACATGTTGTAGAATTTAAAATGTCGTTATCCTTTTTTTCTTAAACCATCAACTAGACACTGTGTATGATTCAAATTGCAATTTGCAATTCTTTATTATTTATACGGTTATTCTTGCCTATTTGTACAAATGGAATTTGAGAAGCACGTACATTTTCTTGTACATATATTCAGTGTTGGGGAAAGTTACTTTTACATTATGCATTACAATATTGCATTACAATATTGCGTTACTCCATAAAAAAGTAACTTAGTACTTAGTTACTTTTTATGGAAAGTAATGCGTTACGTTACTTTTGTGTTACTTTTTAAATCTGGACAGGGCTTGCTTGTTTGTTTTTAAAATAAAAAAGTTCTATTTTTGGCAAATATAAAAGTATTTTCACACCAAAAGTGAAATGAATAAGCCTCAGGCTGAAGGGAAAGTAAATTTACGTCCGTACAGTAGAATGCAGAAGAAGAAATTTCAACACACTTCAGCCATAAACAAATGTTTGTCTAGAGTAATTTTTGCTGATTAGTTTGGTTGAACTGGATCATCGAAGGTCAGAAGCAAAGACATTGCTTAATAGAATGGGATTAAATACATAAAGAATATTTGTGTTGTTTAACATTTAATGATTGCAGGTTTGCGAACACTGCATATATTATTGATTCATAAACACATACTGCCACTTAAACTTGTATGCTAAAATATAAAATAACAAAATAAACTGAACTAAAAGCTGGCCCTAGGTTCATTTAAGTGTAGGCCAGAAATGTGAGAGGAGGGTCAGAATGGTGGGAGTTTGAGTACTTTATCTGTGAGCACTGAGGCAGAAAGAACAGCTGAGGAGTACAGGTTTCTGTAAACGGTAATTTTGTCCTAGTGTCCATATATAGTCTACATGCTTGAAATCATCTCTGTATCTCTTCTTTTATAAGGGTGTAATGATGACTAGAGAAAACCTGAAACTCAAGCCACGTAAGCTTGGTGGCACGTAAGGGACAGAACAACAGAGAAACAGCAGAGTTACACAAATACACTTGTCAGAGCTGAATTATTTAGCTGAAGAATTAGCTTCATTATGGCAAAAAATTTAAAAAAAAAAAATCAACAAATAAATAAAAAGGAAAATTCTTCAGAAACCACTTGTATTATTTCTGTTGTGTAATGTGTTGTAATAAAATTACTTGATGGAGAACCAATTTTGGCAGCTTCTAACAGTGGCAACGTGAAATATTGAAGAGGGCCTCATATGGGTGACACATACATCAGCATATCACTTTACCAGGGTATGTCACCTGTTTCTATAAACACAGGATCAGTGTCAGCTCATTTAAGGACAGCATGCAGGCTAAATAACCTACCTTGATAATATTACCACCATTAATATAATTTTTTTGTCTTATGTTAAAATAATAATCATAATACTAGTGATGATAGAATCTATTACTGTAGTGTTTAAGCTATAAAAAAGATCAAGATGGTTTCTAGCGTACATGACGACAAACTGTCAAAGACATACAATACAATATATACATTTGGCTGAAAGCATACTAACTATCATATTTTATTCAATATTACATGGCTGAAAGCACTGTGAAACGCTTATTGCAACATTTCGCAAATTGTCACGCCAACTGTATGTGCTGTGCACAGAAATGAATGAGAGTTAATGATTTGAATTAAATTAGCATCGAGTTACTAAAATAATTAAACAAAGTGAGAAACATTTCCATTAGAGAATTTTAGGAAAACAATGCGCATTTCCTAGTTTATTCATAATATGCTAATTACATGCACAAAGATATTCTAACAGCTATTTTTGTGGAATAAGGGATTAACCATGAAACTTTCAGGGGACAAAAACAGTTTTGAAAGTTATGAAAAGATTACGTGATGTAGGACCTTTACACATTACATGCCATTGTGCACATTGTTTTTACCATCATACTTGTTTTCAACCTTGTTAAATTCAATATGGTGTCTAACCTGATTAAGGTCTAAATTGACATCAAATATTTATCACAAAGTCAAGGAGTGATTAAAAGATACGCTTCATTATATTGAATATGCACTGTAGTGTACTTTGTATCTTAAAGGTGCCATAGAATGGAAAACTGTATTTACCTTGGCATAGTTGAATAATAACAGTTCTGTACATGGAAATGACATACCGTGAGCCTCAAACACCATTGTTTCCTCCTTTTTATGTAAATCTCGTGCATGCAAAAGACCACTGAAAAATAGGCGAATCACAACATAACACCGACTGTGATGTTACAGTCGGGATCACTAATAGTTGCTCCCCCAACATTAGCATATACCCGCCCATGTTCTATGCCAGCCGCCAGCCGAACCTGCACAGCCGAATCATCAGAAGTTCTGCAGGTATTGTGAAGAAACAATAGCGAAAATGGCAGATCATGGAA